GGAGTGGAGTGGAAATATGGATGAAATGGAAAAACCTCAAAATTGTACTTAAGTATAAAGTACTTTTACTTAAGTAAATGTAGACATGTATTATTACTTTACAACAATGGCAGCAGTCAAAATCCCCCACAATTCTCTGGTGAAATAAAACAAAACAAATTGACAACAAAGAAAACAGAACAACAAACATAGATATATCAGATTAGCATCATTAGTACCTTGATATGTCTAATTCTGAATGAGCTAATACCATTAAAATCAACCAAGCAAGGATTAATGGAACTAATTACTGCGACGCATGTTTGAAGTGTGTGCTTAACGCAGCTTAACTGGCTGAATAAATGAGCCGCATAGTTTTGAGGTAAAGTATGAGGCAGAAACATCACGTTAGTCTCTGGATGAAACCGCTGCTGTGTTTTGTCAACAGCTCCCTACAAGTCAAAGAAGCACTTTTTGGCAGAATTCCATCTTTATCAGCAGGTCTTTATCAGGATACAGCAGATTGCTCTTAAATGGGTCATGGTTTTGAGGGACATTGGTCCTTATAAGGGAATGTAGGAAGCACACAGTTTTTCTGTCTTGACAGCTGCGCTTCACCCCCCCGCTGCCAACACACACTTAAGCAGCTGTTCGCAACAACTGCTTCTCAACTGTGTGTCTGTTGTACACAGGGGTTTGTTTACCGTCTGACCATTTACAATACATGTTTTGCTGAAACAGAACATTTTGTGCCACATTTTCTGCAAAGTTGGCACACAAAGTAATATATTTTACTTGAATCTAGGAAATCTGGATTAAAAGAAATGATTCATTCTTCAGTATTTGATGGGTAGAAGGTTAGGCAACTTAGATCTGTCGTTATCAAACTGATAACGTTAACACAGTGTATGAGGGCAATTTTTTATATTTTCAAGTGTATTACTTTAATTTTCAGTATCTCAGGTTGAGTTCATGCTCATGCAGAATTGTCCATCTCAATAACAGTAGACTATTACTGATTCTAAAGCTTTGTCTCTATAGAGGAGTATATTCTGAAGAGAGTCTCTTCTCTTTGTCCTGCAGGGCTGCTCCTGGCACCAGCAGCTGTTATTGTGATGTGTTACATGCCTGCTACAAATAGCTGATGACTGGCCAGTGTTTGATGGATTCATGTCAGTCCATCAGTTGTTAATCAGTACAGTCAAATCAGTGGGCATTTAAAATCATTGGACAGGCGTAAAATTGATGCAAAACAGCTCAACAGCACCTCAGACTATCTACAAATCAACACCTTTAAACACTTCTACTGTCTAGAAAAATGGAACTCTCTAATTTTCACAAGGGAAGGAGCAGTTGCTGGATTATTGTGTAGACTGGACTAGCATTTAGCTGCATGTACCTAATAAACTCACAACAAAGTGTTAGTCAGTTCACAGACAATTTATTGGAAACTGTTTAGTACAGAAAAAAATGAAAAAAATTGGCGGGTCAAAGTTCCGAAATGTGATAATGTGCTGAGTTTCTCAGCTTGATATGATTTTAAATGGTATAACTTTGGCTTTTGCATTGTTGTTTGGGGAAAAATAAGACATTTGAAGACATAAGACTTTGAAATGAGATTTTTTAAATTTTATTATTTTACATTTCATGAACTAAATGATAACCCAAAAAAATAATTAACCTTAACCATGCTATATTCCCCTACAAACATTCCCTGACATCCCAAGAACACCAACTGTTCATTTTGTTTTAATCCAAATTACATGATATTGCAGTAATTATTATTTATCGCATTGATGGAACATCATGTAATTGTTGGCTATGTGTGCACAATAATTTAAAATACTGCTTAACTTTTCGACATTATATTTTACTATACATGGCAAGAACCGACCAACCATCCTCTGAGCAGCCGCCCTCGGTATCGCTGTGCTGTGAATATATGACAGGGTGTTCTTTACTGAGTGCTCAGACCTGTGCAGAGCAAACACCGTCAAGCACTGTGAGCAGTTTCTCAGATAATGTCAGCTCTATAAATATATGGGGTGCTTTGAATGTTTCCATGTCAGTACTCTATTGTCCTACGTCATGAGGGGATCTGCTGGCCCACAGGTGTGGCCAGTTTGTGCATCTGTGTGTGTGCGTGTATCAAAGAATAAGAAGGCAAAAGTGGGATGTTGAGCTGAATGGAGGATGTTTAATCCCTGCAGGAAAAACTACAGTAGCTTTAGAGGAATGTCATCACACCACCATCTACCAAAAGTTAAAAAATAATAGAATAGAATAGAGAATAGAATGCCTTTATTGTCACTATACACATGTACAATGAGATTGAGAGCAGCTCCTTCAGTGCCATATATAATAAAGTACAAAATAAAGAGCAAAAAAATGAAAAATAGAAGAGATTTAAGTATAAAATAAGATAAGTTATATATACAGTATACAGTATAGGTTATATGTACAGTATGAATTTAGAAAAATATTGCACAGAAGAACAATATGTATGTACACACACACACACACACACACACACACACACACATATATATATATATATATATATATATAGAGAGAGAGAGAGAGAGAGAGAGAGAGAGAGAGAGATATTAGTAATATATATCAAACTCTATATATTACATTGTGAGGTCCTATATTATAGGATTTATTTTTTAGAGGTCAAATCACTGCTGTAATTCTGTCCCAATAATCAGACTGTAACCCAAAATTCACCACCACTTTCAACTGATAGTAAAGCCTATTAGCCTGCTATGCATGTAGAGTTATATATATAAAAAAACTACTATTTTTCAGGAAGTGGAAACATTTCTCTACAGCTGTTGTTCCTATAGATGTTGTATGTATAACAGCACAACCACTCTCCATTCAACCACACACAACCAATTAGTTGCACCAAAAATAAACTAGAAAATGTTTATGTTGATTTTGTAGCAACTCAAAGACTTTGTATTATTGTCACTGAAAACTGTACAGACAATATAAAAATACATGTGTTTAGAAATGTGAATAAAGAACGTGTTTTGCATGTTTGTATTAGTTATAATGTGCAGGCATGTGTTAAAGATCTTGTTCAGACTCTTACAGACTGTAGGAACAAAACTTCCTTCAATGATCTCTAGAAACAAGTGGTACAAACTACTGAACTTCAGCTCACACAGGAGCTCAGTTCATCCCCCTGTTTGTTTACAACACTGACAAGGTTCTCTTCTGTGCTCTCCTACTATCATGCAGAGCTGTGATCCTCCTCAAACACGGCAGCCATCTTCTTCACAATCTGAACTGTAAGTTCACCCTCAGAGCAGAAGAGAGGAGCAAGCACAGGTTACTGCAGGAACACATTTATGCCACTTTTAGATCCAAAATTGCAAAACCAATAACAGATATAACAGAAAAAAACAATCCATATGCTCATATGTTCACAATGTTCTCTACTTCAGCATCCTCAGTGGTGTTGGTGGATTTATTAGCCTGTATCAGTTCACACATCATCATGTGTTCAAGCAAACAGAAACTACAGTCAATTTATTCAACATTTAATGTCCCAGTAATCAACATTGAAAGTTGTGCTTAGTAGCTCCAACATGTTTTCATTGTGCTATTTGAATTTATCATCCATCCATCTGCAGCTCAGCAGGGAGCCTTAACCATACACACTGAGAAACAAGAGAGCAGAGAAAATCCTGTTGAGCATTTTCAAAAAGGTAAAATTTGTCTTTGTGTGGATCAAACTGATGAGTCCTGAGGGTTGTACAATGAAGCAAGTTCGACACAGCTGGGCTTTCTTTGTGGAAGTCAACTCAACAAAACCTGAAGTCCCTGTCTGAGATAACAGAGAGCTAAGAGCTATGAAATGAGATTAGCAAGATATATTGAGCTTAAAGGCAGAACGTTTAGTGTCACCAAGGAGGCTCTCTTGTAGCCTGCCAGATCACTATGTGTCATCTTTCTGATACAGTCTATGTGAGGATAGAGAGAAAAGGGGTGAGGCGAAGGGAGGACATCAGCTCAACAACCAGCAGCAGCGCTCCTTCTGCCACCAGCTCCACCAACCTTTCCTTCTCTCCTTCCTCTCCTCGTTGCCTTTCTTTTCTTTCTCCTTCTTTCCTCTTTACTTTCTCTTTTTTATCTTCTTTCTCTTTTTCAGTTCTTTTGCTTCTTCTTCTCTCCCCTTTTGTCTGTCTATTCTTTTTCAACCTCTTAAAAAAAGCATCTGCTCTTTTTCTTTTTCAGGTGCAGCCCCTTGGTGATCCGGGTTTGCTTCCCAGCCTGGGATCTTTCTGCGTGGCGTTTGCATTTTCTCCCTGTGTAGCGTGGGTTCTCTCCAGGTTCTCCGGCTTCCTCCCACAGTCCAAAAACATGCTGAGATTAACTGCCGTTTCTTAATTGTCCGTGTGTCCCCTGCCTTCACCCTGAGTCAGCTGGGATAGACTCCAGCCAACTGTCACCCTACAGAGGATTTCCTCTTTTAGTTCTTTCATTTTTTTTCTCTGCAGGATCAGACTTTTCTAATAGTCTCTTATAACAGGCAAATTGAAATATCAGAAAAACTTGAAATAGTCAAGACAAGTCACATCTCTGAGCACACATTAACAACTCATGATATTTTTTGAACAATATTTCACCATTTGTCATGTTTTAATAGCTTTGTAATAAATCTATGAAAGAAACAAAATGCATAATTGTTCCATTACAGACAAGTAAGAGTTGTAGGCATCATTGGAAACTTAAGACTGCCATGATAGACATGGTGTTTACCAGTGTATCTAAAAATCATGTTTCATGTAAACTGTATTATTATATTATATCATATTATATTATATTATATACATACTGTACAGTATATTATTATACAGTACAGGAGACCTCGTGTTTGTACTACAACATGTTGCGTTTCCGCTTGACGTAGTCTCAGCTGAGCGTTTCATTGGCTGAGACATAGTAACCGCAGTGAGTCCGTAGCAACGGTGAAGAAGATACGGAACAAGTTGTGTTTTATAGACGGAGCACGCAGTTTCCACTCATAAATGTTGACTATTAATGTTTTAAAATAGCCAGTGCTTTAATAAGTGTAGTTATCAAGTCATTCCGAGCCCCAGTTTGTTTTAAAATGGGGGACAAAGAGCAACAGATTCAACCCAAACGAGTTTTTGCCAACGACGTCGATGGATATTCCTCCAAACACATCGCAAAGGTAAAAGAGTAAAAGTCAGTATTTGTTTTCCTTGAAAGAAGTTCGCCAGTGTTCGGTCATCTTTCTGTCCTATTTGAGCAGTTTTTATCAACATACGTAACGAGAGAGACTTCTGAGGAGGCCGTGGAGACGGTAGCCTCAGCCGGCGGAGCTGCGTATGACACCGCTTGATCCTCACTAGGGTCGGGGGGCTGGAGTCTATTCCAGCTGATTTAGGGTGAAGGCAGGGGACACCCTGGACAGGTCACCAGTCTATCACAGGGCTACACTTAGAGACAGACAATCAAGCACACTCACATTCACACCTACGGACAATTTAGAATCATCAATTATCTGCATACCAGGTCGTAGGAACTGTGAGGAGAGGAGAAGACAGGCTTTCTGCTGGAATAGTACATGATGAATCAGACAGGGAAAAGAATGGATAATAAATGCTGCTCCTCTAGACTTTAAATGTAACTAGTGGTGGAAAATGTACTGCTTTATACTTCATTTCAAGGGTATGATCCACCAGGAGTGCCATCAGTATGTATATATGTATGTATGTATGTATGTATGTATGTATGTATGTATGTATGTATGTATCAGATTCATGTATATGTTTGTATCAGGTTAAAATTAAGCATAGTTATTAGTATAACCTACATAGTTATAGTGCATCAGTAGAGCAGGAAACACCATTTGTTTGACCCACTACTCTCAGGCCGACGCTTCAGGTCCATCAAATCACAGACAAACAGCTGAACTCTGTGAAACACTCACACCAACTGTCTGGAACTGAGTACCTACTAGCAATTCCTACTACCTATTTAAGAACTTTGTATTTATTTGTTATGCATTTATTTATTATTGACTAATTTTGTTGCAAATTTGCAACAACAATAAAGAAACTCTATTCTATTCAGTAGAAGTGAGCACACACTGTACAATGTCACTCAAATGGCAAATGAATCAAATTTGTATTATCAATAATTGCATTACTTCTAAGCTGAAAAGCAGGATATTAGCTCTCATGAACTATCGAAGCAAATGCTTTAGACAGACTACACTGAAAATTCAGTCCCCAAAATACAAACTTATTGCTACAGACACATGAATACACCTGTGATTACTGACACACAAGTTAGAAAACCTGTGATCGTTGAAACAAAATTGCATACACCTGTGATTTCCATTTTCGTTTTGGCTTCAGGGGGCTGCAAGGGGGTGCAGCTGGTTTAGCACCTTTGCCTCACAGCAAGAAGGTCGCCGGTTCACGTCCCGGTGGGAAACAAACGTGCGTGGAGTTTGCATGTTTTCCTCTGGGTTCTCTCCGGGTTCTCCGGCTTCCTCCTACACAGTCCAAAAACATGTTGAGGTTAATTGGTGATTCTAAATTGTCCATAGGTGTGAATGTTAGGATGCTTGGTTGTCTGTCTCTAAGTGTAGCCCTGTGATAGACTGGCGACCTGTCCAGGGTGTCCCCTGCATTCGCTCTAAGTCAGCTGGGATAGACTCCAGCCCCCCGCGACCCTAGTGAGGATCAAGCGGTGTATAGATAATGGATGGATGGATTTTGACTTCAGGAACATGTAAAATAACTTGTGAATGCTAGAACTTTCTTGGTTTTGTACCTATATGGGCTGTGTATGTCTGCAAGTTGCCATTGTGGTTTTACATGGAAAAGAATTGCTAGGGCAACTGAAAAATCTGACTGTGAGACTTCACAAAGAGGGTAAAGGATGCAGGAAATTCAGTGACCAACTTGTGCAACATTGAAACTCAACTCAATTTCCCAATTTACAACAATTTCTCATTAAGAGGCAGTTAAAGGGTATTCAGCATAGGCTCTCCATGCCTACTTAACTATAACTGTGCTTATCTTTGACCTGTTAAACTCTAGCATCAGTTAAAACACAGTTACAACAGTCATTAAAAGGTAGAGAGCAAGTACCATAGCACCACTAATCAGAACCACAGAGGATGTAAATCCCATTGAACCTCTTTGTGCAATATTAAAAAGAAAATCAGAACATTACAACCCCTCCAACAGAGAGCAGCTGAAAACAATAGTCTTTGGAGAATGGCAGAATATCTCTCCAGAAACCAAAAATCTACAAGGTCAAAAAAGTCTTTCACTTAAAATAAAGGTGGATATATGAAGTATTGAAAAAAAAATCTAAGATTTTACTCACGGTAATAAACTGCATAGGGACTTTTGTTGCATTTGGGTTTAAATTGTATTTTTTAAAAGCTACATCTAAACTGTTAGATTTTAATTTAATAAGAGCAATTGGTGATATGATATGATACAGTTTGATTCTGATGAGGGAGCATTCTCTGTAGTCTGATCTTGTTCATTCAAGTAATCAAGTTTGAATGCAAGACTTGAATGATTTGAAACTGAATATTTAAGAACCCCAGTACAGCTAGCAGGCTTTAAAATTAAATCAGTTTCTGAACACTGCAAATAAAGTTTAAAAAGTGATATGGTAATCTCCTTTGTTAGTCACCAACCAGAGATGAGCTTCCTCAGCGCCTGCTGGAGTGTGACGTGGATGTGTACAACATCTCAGAAAGTGCAACACAACAGCAGGTTGAAGAAGCAACAGGGGACCTCACAGGTAAGAGAGTGGGACAGGCGGATCAGTTAGTGGACTGGTGTAAGGATAAAGTCATCACTTTTAGTCCCTGACAAGTCAATGATATGCAATACACAATAAAATAAAAGCAAAAAAAAAAAAAACAATGGGTGCACATAGCAGACAAATAGTGAACAAAGACAAAGGAAGTGAAGTGCTTTTGGGCTGCACAGTCAGCGTCATGCTCAGTATTGCAAGCTGTCAATGGCAGCATACAACCTCCTCTCTCTTTAGTCTCTGAATGTGAAAAAGGAAAAGCTCTCCCCAAAACAACCCTTTAGCATTAAAAAAAAGAATACAAGAAACCACCAGGAGGCACAAAAGAGGCAGGATCCCACAGCCATGGAGGAAATGTATTTACCAAAAGAGCAGACTTATAGAATAAACAACTGAAAGGACAAAATACAATTTGTAAAATGATGTTGGCCCAAGAAAGAATATGCACATTTTCCTCCTTGTTGTTGCATGAATCATTGAATTTGTACAGGAGTGTAATACAGAAGTCGTCTTGTTTGTTTCTATGGCTCTCTTTCTTTGCATTAAGTATGATTTGTTCTTCTGCAGATGCCAATACAGACGATCCAGGCATTATGAAGAAGATCACGGAGATGGTGGGGGTTCCCAAGAATTATGATTTGAGTCCAGAGGAGCAGGAGGAGGAGGACCGAAAGAAAGAAGAAGAAAGGAAACAGAAACTGACTTTGGAGGCTGCTGAGAGGAAACGCAGGACTGAGGCTTCACTGGCTGAGATGGCTGTTCAGTATGAGGAGTGGGTGAGTCCACAGAAGTTGGTCCCATATTATGCCTCTTTTGAACAAGTTAGTCTAAGCCTTACTTGTCCCAAGAATGTGTTACTTCAAGCCTCAACATTAAATACTGGTCGTTAATTCTACCATGTCCTTGTTAAAGTCCTGTTCCAGATGGGCCGTTTTAGTGTCTGTAGCTGTAAGTCCCACTGTTGGGACGTGTAACCAGTTTTAGGTATTAACAACTCCATCAGACACTCACCTTCTGATACAAGGGAAAGAACCTGGAGAAAGAAAATGGAAAGAAACCAGGAGATGGAACTGAAGACATGTAATGACGTCCATAAACAATGAAAAACTTTACATTGTATAATGTGGGCCCTGTAAACATTCACTCTGGGTTTAACAAAGTCCCACATTTAGAGGAGACAAAGACAAGCAGAAGGAAAAATTACATGCTTTCCTGTTTATAATGACTTGTACACCCTAACAGTCAGTTTATTTATTTGATTTATTAGCAGAAGAATTTGTCCAAGGTGAAGCATCAGGAGCACAAGCTGCTGGAAGCTCAGTCTCTTCCTCTGAGAAACTACCTGATGAAGTATGTGATGCCTTCTCTCACCGAGGCCATGGTAGAGTGCTCTAAGATCAAACCAGAGGACCCCGCTGACTTTCTGGTATTCACGCAGCAGACTTTCTAGCATCTAATACATTAAAAACCAGTGATCTTATACAGCTGCTCACAATGTACATTGTGTTTTGTTTTTGCAGGCTGAACACCTTTTACGGAGCAGTCAACAAGAATAATTATCAGTCTCACAAAGACGGGATCTAACCCCCATCAGATTTGGAGGCAGTTTACTCTACGGTAAACAGTCTAAAAATAATATTAACAAATGTTGTTGTCTAAAATAAATGATTGTGGCATTATTGTTACAGGCTTATAATAAATATGAAACGATATGATTGGAGGTGTGTTTCTAATCATAAATCAGCTGATTTTGTTGTCAAGTCGGTGACTGACCCCAAACCCTGCAAGTAAAGATTGTAAATTTATTCATGTTTATTCCATGACTGGTACAACTTTTCTATGTGGTACAATTTATATAGACTTAAGAAATGGTGATTAATGGGTGAAGTAAAGGTTAATGTGTTAATAAAGGCAACTTTTTGGTTGTCAAGTTGTGGAAAATGTTGTGTCACTAACAGTCAAATGATTCGTTAAATGACCAGATGTAGATGTTATGTTATTAATAAAAGGTTCATGAGTTTCTCACTTTCTAATTGCAACTAAGGAAATGTTAAATAATCATCAGGTTTTTACAACAATACATAGTCTGCAGTTGTAAAGGCTAACAGATAGTGAAATGGGTCAGTGTGCAGATCCCCTGCAGCTGTTTGCAGAACGTCAAATGAACACGATGAACTCCAACCGTCCTGCAGGAGGAGCATAAAAACCAATCAGAGAGATTTTCAACCCGACAGGGATCCTCCATGAATTGACTTAAATCAACACGAACAACATCATTTAAAGTATAATGTTTATTGATATTGCTCTTAATTATCATGGCTAAAGAAGGAGTTTAAGGATCATAGCAACCAGAAAGGAGGTGTTCACTGTCTGTTTAAGTGGGCCATTTTGGAAGCAATGAAAAACAGGTAGCGTGGAAAGCAAAAGATGAATACTTCAACACTCATTTTCACAGGAAGAACTACATTATTATTGTTTAATATGAATGAAATAAGACTAGTACACAAATCACAAGGAAAACAGCAAAGCTCCACCTTGTCTATTCTGTGATTTGAGGATGACGTAAACTTACATAAGAACACATTTTTGAACACACTTCCACCATAAGTTAGAGAGAGAAAAAAAAATCACTGCGTCGGACTTCATCCAGATTTCCACTCATTACAGATTTGTCCTCTCAGAGCCTCCATGTGGTGGGTGACTCAGCGCACACTGCCTTATAGTGTCAGCATTTACTGGAAAAACAACTATGCTGGGACTTGTTTTGAGCCAGTAAAGATGTAAACACTGCACTCTTCAGATTCCCATTTTGTCAAGCTCTTTGTGTGTTAAGAAGAGTGTTTGGATGAATATTGAGAATAAATACATACTTTGTGATGCTTTATTTAAATGAGCACAAACCTAATTTACTATGCTGCATAAAAATAATGAGATTCATTGCAAAAATAACATTTTTAAATAGTTGTTTCACATGCTTTTTAGGTCGCTCATAATAAAAAGAGAACTTAAAAGCCTGTAAATTTAAAAAATAAATAAATAAATCTCTTGGGTTAAATCTCAGGTTTCAGTCCAGCTATCTTTTTTAAATCTGCTCTTTCATCACTAGGTGGTGCAGGGAGCCTTTCTATTAACTTCACACATGAAGGAGACGGACAATTACTTGGACTGGGTTGTTCATATTTTTTCTCAATTCTACCCAAAGACAAGTCAGTGCTCATGTTATTTGCACTGAAATGAATGTATCTTGCTGAATAATTTGGTGTCGCTGCAGAAGAGGCCTTTGTTCAGATATCGTTGTAAAATGTGTCATAAAATAAGAATGTGTTGCTCCAGTTGTTGTGGTTACTAAAGAGGAACTGGTGTCTGGAGTTTGCTTTGTAGTTTGTTTATGACTGGGGAAACTGTCTGCAGGCTCACTCATATTATATGGAAAATAAATCACGCCATTATAGAACAACTCTTTTGGTGTGCTGGACTTTACCACAATAAATGTCAAGACTTTAACATTTCAACTGGAAGAAAACATACTGCAAAATAATTGCCCCCATAGTTTTACAAGATTCAAACTGTGAAACCACTTCAAGGTTGTTATACATTTGACAATAGCGCTTCTGAAATATGACATATTCTCCCTCATCTGTGGAAGTGTTACATTATAATTTGTCTTTTGTAGAAAATAAGGTGACAGTGTGAACGTTGTTAGCAGGTTCTTACCAAACCCATTTCTGTGGTGCTGTTTCTGAGAATGCACATCAGGCAAAGTGGCCAATAAAAACACCAAAACACCTGCATGGCACACAGCTGTTTTCAGTTTTTTACCCCAATGAAGAAAGTTCACACCTTTTTTATTCACTAAAGAAAAATCTCAAGATTGGGCAGAAAAAATCCGAATAACAAAAAACATCTGTGTGGGTGTGCAAGGCCTTTAAATCCACTCACACCATAAGCAGAACCCTGACCGTTACACAAATTGTCATATATATATAAAAGGAAAGCTGTAGGTATTTTGAACCGAACTTGCTCTTAATCTATGACCACTGCGGGCAGATTTCAAAAATGCTAAGACTAGTTGTCACTATGACACTCATCCTCTACACTTGAGGCCAGCAAGTTCGCCAAGAACATTTTTCCTGAATATTGATCTGAAATGTATTGAAACGGTCTGCAGATACCAAGAAAACACATTAGAACAGACTAAGTGTGAGCCTGGATTGGTAGAGCGATGCATATGAGAAAAAGGCACTTGGCTACATTGGAAGAATCCAGACCACTGTGTTTGCATTATGAACAAGCCACATACAATAACACCTTATTACACAGTACAATGTGTTTCACAGAAGCATTATTCTTTGTAAATCAATTGGCTGTGTAAACACGTCATATAACTACCAAGCGGACCAATCACTGCTCTTGCGGTCTGCGCCTCCACAGCATCCAGTTACATTTTGGTAGAAATGTACATCACACTACGGCATAAGCTACAGGGTAGTGATTAACACTGGTGAAGGAGGCTGGAATTAATTGGAGGTGAAAGGGTCGTCCCAATCAGCCACAAAATAAAGTGTTGGCAGCGACACTGCGAGCCAAAATGGACTGGCAGAAGCAAATCAGAAGAGATTTCCCTCGCAGGGAGCAGGTCCAGCTCTGTGACTGACGTTTAGTTTCATATTTATGAGGAGAAATGGCGAAAAGTCCTGCCAAACACCCACGGTTCCCATAACTCATGTCTTCAGTATGTATGTGTGGATGGTATCACTTTTACTGGATTCCAAAGTCAGCCAGCCCCTTCCTCATTCCCAGTTTTTACTGCTGCAAGAGGAGGATATTATCCTGCCTGTTAAAGGTTATTTTTCCCACTATGCACTGAAGCAGTACTACCATTAAAAAAACAGATGTGTAGTTTTGGTAAAAGATTTTCGCAAATAATCTTAATGTGAACAATTCTTGCGGCATGAGCTGCAGTTTGTTGTTTATACCTCTTAGTCATCAACTCAGTCTAATTCCATCCATGTGGTGTCCAAAAGAATCACAGGAAATGCTGGGAAATTGTTGGAAATAACTAAACTGTATCTCTTTGGGAAACAAAAACATGAGATTTTTCAGCTGCTTCTGATATTCTGAAACTTCTCACTTGCTCTATTGCATGCTGGGAAAAGTCCCCTCATCAGCCTCAGTACTGTAACTTTCTCTCGATACTGCATATGTGCTACTAGTCCCGCAAATACTTTCACTTCACTACAATTCATGTATAAAGTTATTTTGTATTTCCATCAATTATACAGAGTGCTGTGAAAAAGTGTTTGCCCACGACTTTTGGAATAACATCCTATGGATGTGCACCTCAGAACAAAATTGAGATGTTGGAGCGGTCAAGTCCAAGCCTGGACTTGAATCCAATTGAGATACTGTGGGAAGATCTCAAAAGGGCAGTTTATGCTCAAAAACCATCTAATGTGGCCAAATTCAAACCATACTGCAGAGAAGAGTGGGCCAAAATTCCTCCATTCCTTGTGATCAGTCCTAAAAGACTGCTCACAAGTTTCTGCAAATATTTTACTGCAGCTGTTGCTGCCAAGGGTCCAACCAGTTATTAGGTTTATCGGGAGCAATTTTTACAGGGGTGATGTAGGTTTTCATTAAATCTTCGATAAAGCCTCATTTATAAACTGTACTTTGTGTTTTGTAGATTATCTCTTGTCTGATAATAAATAAATCTAAATATTAGTTTGATGATCTGGAACATTTAAGTGAGAAATATGCAAAAATAGAAGACACCAGGAAAGGGACAAATATTTTTTACAGCACCGTAAGTGGTATCTGTATATAATAACACACATCCTATACTTTAGATAGATTTGAAATTTCAAGCTCAAATGATCTAAAATAAAACAATCAAGATGTGTGGCCTTTACTTCAGTTGAAGGGGTAAAACTAAAATACTTCATCACCTGTTTCGGTATCGCAGCCGTTTTGTACGTAGTTCTATCATTTCCACAGGCTTCACATCATCTGGACAAACCAACATAGGTATGACTGTGAAGACTGTCTGTAACACACTGGATGTAAATCCTTTACAGTCAGTGACAGATATTACATTCTATTTTTGCTTGTTTGTGGGGCTTTTTGCCCTCAGTTTTGTCTTTTAGCAAGAGTAAAGTAGCTTCAGGAAACTCTAGGGTTGCTTTCATAGTATGTTTTCTAATATTTTAATCTGTTGCAAGTGTGTTAAATCTGTGAAGTTCTGCCTGTCGGCAGACAGTGCAGATCTGTCCACTTCACAATTCATCCTGCTCCATCTATCAGCAGTTGCATAATCAATAAACATCAAGACCCAGTTCAGCTGTCAAGCCATGTATGCCATAACACTGTCTCCACAATGTTTGACAGTCTGCTTTGGATCATGAAGTCTTCTTTTTCTTCTCCATTCTTCTCTCTTCCCATCTCTTCCCACCAGATTGTGTCTTGAGCCAAACCTTTTGTGTTTACGTTCATGACACATGTCTTCACTGCAGAGGTTGACAATGTTAGATGATGTGAGAGGATTTTTCTGCACCAAGGAAAGAGTTCTGCTTTAGTTTTATTTTAGTGTATCTGAGTTCACCAGACCATTTATTCTGTTTAAGAATGTATTAAGCAGCTGATTTGGCCATTTTGTAAATTTTTTCTGTCTCTCTGATAGATCTGCTTTGTCTCGTCAACATATTGATGACCC